TGCATTTTTGAGCAGCAAGGCACAGGTGTGTATTATTTTGACTGGTATAGTGTGTGTATAAAAAAGTTCAATACACAGGGTGTGTTGATTTTTTCAGGAGTCGGGTGTGTAGAATATTTCGCAGTACTTGAACCTGTGATTCTGTTCAACCTGTGTAAATTTCCGTAAGGAATGTAGGTGTGCTTATTTTGTGAGGTGTGTTTTTTTACGCTATAATTAAGCCCCAGTATTACCCCCAAATTCCGAGTCACACCAGAGAAAGAGATTGAGAGACAGAATGTATGGGATTTTTGGGAAGAAGTCAGCTAGCAAGCTCGCCTCCAGGGTGCGAGCTGATAGGAATGCTGGGGAAGACCCTCTATATATCTGGGGCCAAGACCCGAACTCAGATCCTTTCTGCAGTCCGGAGAGAGCAGAATGGCTGTACAGTTCAAGCGTGGGAAAAAAAATTGAGAGCTAGGTCTGACCTTTTTGAGCATGTCTTACATACAAAGTTTTTTGATCCAATCATTTCCTGTCTTGGGAAACGCAAATACTCGAAACTACGCGACACTGTGGATTTCCAACTTTTTGAACTGTACAGCCACTCTGCTCTCTCTGGACTGCACAGCAAGGATCTGGATTCAGATCTCGGCCCCAGATATATAGGCAGATACGTAGGCAGACCAGTGTGGCGACCCCTGCCGATCCGTCTGCCCATCCCTGCCGTGGTTGGTCTAGGTATTCCGACCAGAATAGGCACACATAGACTGACGTAGGCCGATGAGCCTAGCTAAGCCTAGTTAGCCAAATTCAAAACCCGACATGGTTTGTACCCGTCCAGCCATTCCAACCGACACCAACCTAGACCCAGGTTGGCCAAGGTTGGCCAAGATAGGCACACCACCGTTGGCGAAGATCTACCAAGGTGGGCAGACTTTGCCTTGGTAGGGATGCTAGACCAACGTCAGCCAACACCTATTAACGTCAACCAACGTCGGCTTGAGTGGGCAACCCATGGGCAGAGATCGGCGAGGGTGGGCACATCTGTGCCTATGGGGGGGTCTGAATGCAGTGAGTCCAAAGGTACACCAGAAGCTGAGAACCTGTCGCTGACTTTTGACCATCCTGAGGTACCATGCACCTTTTCAACGGCGTTATTGGCAGGCCTTCTGAATTTACTACAAAATACCCCAAAGAATGTGCCATTGTTAATTTGCTCCTCCGATCTTTTGCCGCGGGCGCTGGTTAAAGAAAGAGAAGTCTATGAAAACAATCGTTTGGATCCAAACTTCCGTCTGATGAGAGTGGTAATCGCAGAATTAAATGAAAGAGTCGCTAGAATCCAATTAAGAAAAGTGTCAGACAACCCTGCTAGATTTTTGGCAAACATCCAGACTCGCAACATCGAGATTGTGACAAATGTCGACATTATGTTTGAATGTCCAGGCATACTTCTATCCCATGGGTCACAGAGAATTTTCTACAAAATCCTACGGAGTCTACACTCCAAACCCCATCGAAAGTCTACATTCATAAATCTGGATCGTATTCGTTGTTCCGTTCAAGGAATTTCGAAATACACCCCCACTGATGAAACTATCTGGAAATCCATCCGTTCCGTAACGTTTCTATGCTTGACCCGGGAATTCTACTGGAAATGTATTCACAATACATTCAGGGTCGGTGATTTTTGGACGCATATTGATACATTGGAGATACGGGGAAGACGCCACGCATGTGGTGTGAGGCACCGGGTCAAATTTCAATTTGGAACTTAACAAACCTGCTTTGGTCGAAGAAGTATGGCCCACTACCATCCTTGAACTGGGGTTTGATCATGGGATGTAACCTTGTTAAATTCAAATCTGCAAAGGGTGCAGTTCAGTCTACCCTGGTCCAACCCCCCTAGGGCCTAATTTTTCAAGGGACTTAATTGGCCCTAGGGGGGTGATTTTTGGCAGTGTGGACCATGCCTATGGTCTGGCCCACTGTTTTCAGCAAAATTAGTCTGGGCTGTCCCAGACTGATTCTATATGGGACAGCCCACCCACTCCAGGTGGGCCCAAAGATTTTTTAGGGACATCCCATGGGCCCATTTGGTGACCAGGACCTCTGGCACCAGCCCAGCCTGAAAACAGCATTTTTGGGCCCATTTCTGGGCTGTTTTGCATGTTTCTGGGTGATTCTGAAAGCCCCTGTCCAGGGCTTTTATTCTGAGCATAATCCATCCATATTGCGACCTTTGTCTTTTTGGCAGCCCATAAATATGGCCCATTGGCTTCCTTCCCTGCCAGGTTTCCAGCTGGCTTTCTATCCAGTTTTCTGGTTGGCTCTCCACCCAGCTTTCCAGTTGGCTTTCCACCCAGCTTTCCAGTTGACTTTCCCCCAGCTTTCTGGTTAGCTTTCCCCCCAGCTTTCCAGTTGGCTTTCCACCCAGCTTTCCGGTCATCTTTCCACCCAGCTTTCTGGTCGGCTTTCCACCTTGCTTTCTTCTGCTTTCTGATTGGCCCAGCTTTCCACTTGACTTTCCACCCAGCTTTCTGTTTCCCAGGGAAAATTCAGTTTCTTCTCCTTCCCATCTGGTACACATCCCATCCAGTACCCATTCCTTTTATTGATGACATGGTGGTCGCAGACGTGGGGGCCGTGGCCATGGGTTTTAAGTTCAATTGAACATTTCCACAGCCTAGACTGTTTCCAAGCTGTGCTCGGTGTGACATCCTGTCTTTACTCTTCAACTCAAATTTCTGTTTCTGCAGCCTCCTGACTCATCCATGCCTTCTTCTTTGGCTACTATTAGAGGATTTGCACAGAACCCTGTGGTTAAGGTAAGTGGGCCTGGGCATAAGATACAGTGGTGCTCAAATGTTCTGCACGGGATCGTTTGGGCTCATCTCACTACGGAATCACTTCAAATCAAGTCCTGGCATGTATATTGAGGCAATAGAAGATTTTCAAGACCATTTACCACATACCATACCTACCTTGTTGTCCCACAATAAATTAAATTCTTGTTTTCTAAAAACCCGAGTCTGTGGATGTGAGTGATATCGCAAAATGGTCATGCTAGCCTTAAAGAGCTTGAAAAACGGAGCCTCTTCACCCCTTGGTTCACCTGAATCCATAAGGTTTTGAGCTTGCAATGCCCCCTACAAGACGGCCATTTTGGGCATTTTTGGCTGTTTTTTAGTACTATTTGAGCAAAATGGCTGCCTTGCACAAGGCATTGTATGCCCAAATCCCTATCGATTCGGGTCAAACAAAAGGTGAATTAGGTCTATGTTACAAGTACTTTCATGCTACTGTCACCATTTTGTGACATCATTTGAACTCGGAGACTTGGTTTTTCAGAAAATGCAAAAATAATTCATCGTGAGACAACAGTCAAGGTATGGTATATGTCAAACCATTCCAAAAATCTTCAATTTGCTCAAGATCTATGGTGGGATTTTATTTGGAGCAATTTGGTGCACAAACAAGCCCAAACAGCCGCGTGCAGAACATTAGAGCACCAGTGTAGTTGGGGTGTAGGCCTCCTGAGGGTAGGCACTGGTAAGTAGAGTGCGCAGAGGCAGATAAAGGTAGAAGGTGTCCAGGATAGATGAGCAGTGGGGTGGCACTGGGGTGGGGGCGGTGCGTGCGTGCGAGGTGGGTGGCGTGGCAGAGGCTAGTTGGTGAGTGGGTCGGCAGGCAGGTTTGCATGCAGGTCAGCCTGGAGGGTGGCCCAGTCAGCAAGGAAGCCGACCAGAAAGTTGTTGGCAGTGTTGAATGGGTTGGCAGTGCGGGCATGAGTCATGGGGCATACAAAAATTGTTCAGGAACACAAACATCGCCCTGCACAGGAGCTTGTCACGGTGGGGAGTGGGCGGCATAGGGAGGACACTGCAGACGGTGTGGAAACAACCGGTGAGCCCAGATATTGGAGGAGGTGCGGCAGTATATCTGGGCTTCCCAGAAGTTTCCATATGATGTGTGCTTAGAACATCTTGGCCCATTTTCATCTGCATCCCATTCTTCCAGGTAAAACATCAGGAAAATACTCCTCCTCTGGTTCACTGCTCAAGTCTGCTGGATCTTCCTATTCCAAGGTTGGGTTCAAATTGATATTATTGAACTGTAAGTCGCGACTAAAGGCCTCATCCTTCTTCCATGTTCAAGATTTTTTTACATTGGGCTGGCCCACTGGTTTCATAATCCAATGGGCCGTCCCATAACTATTTGCTTACAATGTGGGCCAGCCCACCCATTCTCACATCATACATGGTCTAGCCCATGGTATACTCCAGACAGACCTGGGCTAGCCCACCCATGGTTGTAATGTGTGTGGGCTTGCCCACAGGGTTTTTTTTTGCATGTGGGCTAGCCCACCCACTTTCATAATGTACATGGGCTAGCCCACATATTTCCATAAAGACATGGGCTAGCCCACCCATGGTTGCAATGTGTGTGGGCTTGCCCACGGGTTTTTTTTTTTGCATGTGGGCCAGCCCATCCACTTTCATAATGTACATGGTCTAGCCCACCATATTTTATTTTCAAGCTGGGCTAGCCCACTCAATTTTATAATCTACATGGGCTAGCCCATAGTATTTTATATTCAACATGGGCTAGCCCACCATATTTTATTTTCAAGCTGGGCTAGCCCACTCAATTTTATAATCTACATGGGCTAGCCCATGATATTTTATATTCAACATGGGCCAGCCCACCATATTTTATTTTCAAGCTGGGCTAGCCCACTCAATTTTATAATCTACATGGGCTAGCCCATGGTATTTTATACTCAACATGGGCTGGCCCACCCAGTTCTCGTGATCTATGTGGGCTAGCCCACATATTTCCATAATCTGTGTGGGTCAGCCCACTTGGTTTTCGTCATTGTTTGTAAAAAGAAATTTTTTGGAGTTGGAACCATTTTCACCAAAGGGAATAAGTTATTGCAACTCTAAAAAGTTATGCATGCCAAGTTATCGCAGCTGGACTCCATGGAAGGGTGCCTACTTGCAATAATTTCGCACAGGCCCAACTGGGGCTCGAACCCAGGATGTCTGCCCAAACAGCCCAAATAGAAATGGACCTTGAAGCAGTTATGATCCATTACACCATTGGGCTATTGCCATAAATAGTCTTTTATTCCTGTGCTTGGCCACCTTTTGCCCCCAAAAATGCAACTCTATACATATTCTGTTGACCACAAACTACAAATGACAACCAAATCCAGATGTATTCCAATTCTGACTACGAACTATAACAACAACTCTGTATTGCCTATTCATTTTACCTACAAGTGAGAATTCCTAAAGGAACCACTGATTTGTCAAAAAAATAACGTGCGAAGTCCGGGGTGTATCCAAATCTATTGCAAGTAACTGGAAGAGACATGAATTACAAGCAGCAAAATACTACATTACATATCTGAACGAAGCGAGTCAATGAGCTCAAAGAGCTCCCCGTTGGAAATAGTGGACAGCGGCGGCGGATTCTTGATTATATTCGGCTCGGCATTTTGTTGGAGCGTTTCGAGCTCGCCAGATCTGGTCTGCCAGCTCATCAGATCAAGAAGAAATTTAAAGGTAGCAGGAACAAACGGTGCACGTACATGTGAAGAACCGACAAGTGCAGTTCAGACCCCACCGGCACCGTGGAATATTTGTTTTTTTGGGTGGAAGTGCATGCGGGGTAGTCCTAAAGTCGGTTGCAAAGTCGACTCGGGGACTTTTCTTTTAGGATGCCAATCGTTCGCGAACAGACACAAAAGACAAAACGAACCATTAGTAAAACCAGGCACAAGATCTTTCAGCCGACAACGTACACTTTTGATTCAAGATTGCCCGGCGCAGATCGTGCGACAGGTAGGGGTTGGTGAAGGAGAAACTGACGCATCCCTGCTTGAATCTCCTCCAAAGTCCGCCCCCGCATCCACATACTCGGTGAAGATCGCGAGCAGCCGTAGTTCAAAGGCGAGGTTCTCTTCTTGGCCGTCGAGCGTGTACCGGTAGCCATAGCGTGTGGTACCTGTGCGCCTCGTCCTGGTACGCCCAAAGAGGGTCCGGATTCGTCATTGCATTGGTTGGCGTCCACTGTTCGGCTCATCAACGCAAGTACGTAGATGAGATACACAGATATCCAACTCACCTGCATGCTCTTGGCTGAGGGACAAAACCCACTCAGCACGCCGTCGCGCCTACAGGAAGGAGTGGACTTCAGCGTCTGGCACGTACTCGCCGTAGTCCATCTTGTACATGGCCACCGTGAGCGACAAAGGTCGGTTATGAATGCAATCAGAAAATGCAAGGCGTGTAACGCACCCAGCTCGTACTTCGAGGCGGTGGCCTTGTCCGCGGGGTCAGCCTCTGCAAGTTCCGATTAGACATTGCTATGCGCACGCGTTACGAATTCGACGCACCATAGGCGGCTTTCAGCTCGGTGATGTGGGCGTTGCGCGCTGATTGATGTGCTCAGAACCTATATAAGAAACACACAAATAACCCCACTTGACTCGAGAGCGGCACAGAAACAGTCCAGAGACTGTTCCAACAACCAACAAACAAATCAAACGGCAATATATGCACGTTTCCAAAGATCCCGACGAGTTACAGCCCCTAGTACAGGGCCTTGTAAAGGTTGTAAGGAGAGGTTTCGTATCTCAAAGAGATAATAGAGCAAACTGCGTAGAACGTGTTTCTAGACACAGTGGAAACGTTGTTTCCAAACAAGATAGATTTATAGCTTCGCAGCGTGTGTGTGTGTGTGTGTCCAAGCGACAGAGAAACAAGTTTAAAGTAGTCCCGTAGACTCAAGTAAGGCCCCTAGTTTATAGGCCAAGAGCGTTCACAGAGCTTTCCCTAAAGAGGTACTTTCTGAGCAACGCCAGCAGTCACGTTTCCAAAGTTTTCCCTCGACGGTACTTTCTGAAACCCGCTCCGCAAACAACAACAATAATGTTTCTTTCAACAGAGTCCCAGATCCAACAGATTCTCAGAGTTCAGACAGTTTCCAGGCAAAGCCCAAGTGCGTTTCCAGAATAATATATGATTCAGAAACAATTAAGATTTCGACTAATAATGCTACTCTATAAGAGTGCGTTCGCCGAGGATCCCAGATCAACCCAATGCGCAAGCGTATAGCCTACTAGTTCGGGGGAAGATGCTGTGTCCATCGTAGAAACACCCTCGGATACTTATACAACCGCCAAGACACTGTTACAAAGCCCAAAACACAATCCCAATGAGTCAAAAGTCCGTTTATCCGTCTCTTTAACCGCGTTTCCGTCGGTTGTTCTTCCGAGCGTCGCCTCCCATTGGTTCCCACTGTGAGCACGCCATGTTCCCTTGCCAATTACGAGGCAGGAACCCGTCAGCAGCACCCCTGTATTATTCAGAGGGTGTGTCGATCACCGATAGATCGGCACTGCATCTCGTCCGTCCTGTTTCTGCTTCAACTCAAGTTTCCCCTTGGTTCCAAGTACGGAACTTGATAGTACTCCTTTGTAGGTCTCGGTAGATACCCGTTTCTCTAGGGTTTCCCAGAAAGGGTTCTTGAGAAAGAACCTTAGAACGCCTTTAGAGTTGTGATCCGGATCCACAGAATAGCCGACCACCTGTTTCGGTGTATCCGCATCCGATGGAAACCGGCAACTCTGGCAACCGAAACACTCGTGACCGAACGCGTCTCCCCTAGCGTCTCAACACAACACAACACATTGCCAACTCCCGTTCCCTTGACCCGTTTCCGTTGCTTAAGTGAATGTTGGAAACAAATCAAAAGAAGTTCCTTGACTTATTATCTGGCTGCACGTTTCCCTTACAGTTTTCAGGGCGAGACTAGCCAATGGACGTTCTAATTCCTTAGAACGTCCACCCGTTTCTCTGTGGTTCGCCCAACAGCTACCAGGAACCAGTACTGTTGCATAGAAACAACAGTTTCAGCAATGAGCACGATCAGAAACACGCAAAATTACGTGTATCTAACCATGGCCCAATTGCTGGCTTATCAGCGCCTTCCGCTCTGGCTCGTCCTCGAGTCGGCGAACAACAACCTCAATCGCTGCTTGTGGTGGGACCTGGGGTGAGGGGAGGTCTGGGGGCGAAAGGCGAGGGACGAGCTCCGTCGAGACCGTAGAGCCAGGAACCAAGTCCGATTGCTATTTTTTTCAAGTGTACCTAGTACCCGTTTTCGTCGTCGCGATAAACATCTGCCCTCACCACCGCGTCCAGGATCCCAAAATCTTCATCCTCACCGCCGCTTTGCTCGCCATCCTCATCCTCGTCATCCCAGCTTAGTTTCTGCCCGTAATGTCTCTCTTCCCCGCGCGCTGCCCTGTGTGCGTTGACACGGCAGCTCGACAACTGCATTGCCGAAGGGCCCCATGGCGGTAGCGGCCCCATCGCAGCGCCAAAATCGGGTAGGCACTTGTCCCACGTAGCGCACAATTGTACAAGCTTGTTTTGGTGCAGCTTGAGGTGATATTTGTCAACATCGGAGTCTAGAGAACCGTTAGATTCGGTTCGCATCCAAAGCCTACGCTGACTTACTCGCTTGTTCGATAGCACGCGCTGCTATCTCCCATTCCTCCCGCAACCACACCCGCAGCGCCAGATTCTCCCTCTGCAACCGCGCATCTTCTTCGTCGCACCGGTCCAGCTCCAGCATTGCTTTGATACCGGTCCGCACCTTTTCGTCGCAAAGCCATAGCGGGGGCTCGCCGTCGTTGTCTCTGCCGTCCAAGCCCACCTCCTGGAAGATGGTGTCGTCAACGTCGAGTTCCCACATCCCCTCGGCCGGTATAGGTATGGGCGCGATCGCGCCTCGGGGCGCCTTGCCGTCCTTGATGAGCTTCCCGAGTTTGGCGCACAGCTTGTTATATTCAGTCGCCAATTTGGCTATGGTTGGCTCGCGGCGCTTGATAGCTGCCCTCGGTGTGGGCGATGAGTTTATTGTCTGCATAACGCATCAGTATTTTTCCCTGTGCCACTAGAGTACAGAGCATTCACCGTTTTTTAGACGTCGACCCAACCGCTCCACCGGGTCTCTTTCGAACTTCCTCCCACGCATACGTCCGAGGAATCGACGGTGTAGAGCGCGGGCGTTCATCCGGTCCCGAAAATACTCACTGTTCACCAGCATCTCCAGCTCTTCGTTCTCCTCCACCCCCAACGCCTCCTCCTGTCGTTGTAGAGCCCGCTCTGCGTTGTGCAGCGCTTGTCGCGCGCTCGCATACTCCATCTGATGCAGGGGCGCGTGCAAATCTCCTTCCTGAGCAACTTTCAAGAACTTCTTTCTCAGCTCGCGCACCGACTCTTGGTGCGCCGTTAGCGCCGCACGCCCGAGTATAACTGCATCAAACGGCCTTCTGCCCTTTGTTTTTCGAACGACCTAGCTGGCAGTTAGTATTCTTGATATAAAGGACCCAGTGTTTTGCACATACGAGGTAAAGGCCGTGTCTGCGACTCAACCTGTAAATGCCACTGCTCACGCAACAGTTCTTTCGACTTCCCAGACTCGCGCAGAGCATCCGTCGCTTCCACCCGCTTCGAGCGACTATGGCGATAGCGCCGGGAGATCCACTCCCCCAGGCGGAAAAGGCTCGCCTCGTCGTCGTGCTCGATCTGGGCGTCCAGGATATAGAGGCGGTTATGATACTGCGTGTGATGTAGTCAGCTCATTTCAAGTGCTCCCTAAAGAAACATGAGACGTACCCCGCAGATACGCAAATGCGCGATCAAATGCTGAATCGACTTCCAGAACCGCTCGCAACCCTCCCCGTTCGTGAATCCGAATCCCACACGCTTCCGGGGATGGTAAAGCAGCTGGTACGGCCACTCGTGGCCAAACGCGTGGAAAACCGAGACCGCGAACGCGACTCAGTCGATGTAGCGATCCAGAAAATTCCACTTCAGGCAGCTGCGCTCGAATGCGCAGGCGACGTCGTAGAGGATTCCCACCCGGATGTCGTGAGGGACGTGCTGGAAGAACGTCTCGATGAGGACGACAACGTAGAACTGCTTCTCCCCCGCCGAATGCATGTTGGCGAGCCACAGGACTCGGTCATGCCGACATAACAGACCCATGAGGGCAGTGTCCTCAAAGAACTCGGTGCTGGCTTTCTCCCG